GCAGCAGCAGCAGCAGCAGCAGCAGCAGCAGCAGCAGGAGTAGTAGTAGTAGTAGTAGCAGCAGCAGCAGCAGTAGTCGTCGTAGTAGTAGTAGTAGTAGTAGCAGCAGCAGCAGCAGCAGTAGTAGCAGCAGCAAGAGTACAAAGCAGCAGCAGAAGAAGAAGAAGAAGCATAGACAATGAGAGCAATCCACTGTCCGCCAAGAGAACCTGAAGACCATCGCGACTATCCGGTTATCCAACAACTCTGCTCTGAAGTTGCAGGCAGCCGGATGCTGAGCGGCGCTTTCAGGCTTGGTTTAAAGCTCGGGGCTGTGATGCACTTCGTGAAGCCTGTGTCAAGTGACGAAATCTTTCATGGAGGTTGAATTATGCCAACCAGCAGAGCAGACCAAGGACTCACAGACTGGAACGAGGCATAAACCACAAGTGAACCTAAACGCTAAACCCGAAGCGTAGACCCTGAACTCTGAACACGGTAGCCCAAGCCCAGACAACTCGAAGAAAAGAGCCCCGAAGCCCAGCACCCTCACGGGCTGCAGGTTCCGGGTGGCCGTGCGGGTGCCTGGGTCCTGGCCGCGGTGAAGGCGCGTCCTTGTGGTTCGGGTTTAGGGTTTAGGGTTTCAGATTAGGGTTGAAGGTGTAGTGTGAGGGGAAATTTCAAGGAGGGTCCTGTGAGGGGGTTTTGAAACGGTTCTAAAGGTCTATAAGGGTTCTACAAGACGTGTATAAAGGTTGTTCAAGTTGGAGTTTTACAGATTTTCATGTTCCTGTCTGTCTGTGTGTCTGTTTTTACTTCTGTGTCGGAGTGCGATGTGCCATGTTCTTGCATGTTTTAGCACGATCAAGCTTTGCATCAGCAGTGCTGTCAGAAACTTCGCAACCCAAAACCTCTGGTGTGGATGGCGCAGGTGCCCGTCCTCGTGCTGCTGCTGGTCGCTGCCTGGGGAAACTGGCCCATGGTCCTCGGTGCCGCAGCCGTGCCTGGGGCTGTCCCATGAACTACACCTTACATTGAACAAAACTCAGAGCGTGAACCTAGGTGAATGTGGTCATTGTTCTGTGGGCTCGCTGTGCCTGATGCCGGAATCGTTGTGCCTGCTGCCGGAACCGAAAGGAAGCTTGGGGTCTGGCCCTGGAGTGCATGTTCGTGGTAACATGCAGCGTGTAGTGCTACAGCGCCTGGGACGATTTGAATCCTGCGAGTCCTTGGCCTTGGTCGAATGGGCTGTGGAAGAGATCACACGTGAGTTCCGCAACCTTTGCTACCATGGAAGCGGGGAGTTCGCTTGCGCTCCGGAGAACAGACAGCCTGCAAGATCTCGGCATGCGGACGGAGGAGAAGAACGTCCAATCCAGCCCATACTAAGTCACTAAGTACTGATGATACCGACGTGCGCGCGGCGCAGCATCAAGATCGATCCAGGGGATGATGGCCGCAGGCCATGGCTCTACAGGGCTGATCACTGAGCTTGGGCTCATCTTCGCCACCTCCACGGCGCTCCACGGCTACATCGAGCCGCAAGGCAGACGACATGGCTCTCCTCTTAACGCCTGGCGCTGACCTGCTTCACAAGCCTCATTGTCAGGGCGGGGAATGTCTTCTCGGTGGTCGTGGCCGTGCCGCGAGGACGCGAGCAGAAGCTTTGTTTACAGTGCTTTCCTTTCGTCGCTCTTAATTCCGGAGTCGGCCAACTAGCAAGGACTTCTTCAGCTTCTTCACCAACTACTTCCACGGTCTGGCCGATGGATGGCATCCTGCGCGGCACCACGGGAATGCGAGCTGTGGAAATGTTGCGAGGGACGGGGCTTTGCCGGTGCCTGACCTGAGCTCTGCAAAAAAAGGGGGGGGGACTGCTGTCCTCTTGGCACGTCCCGCATCTTTGCTCGGCTCAGAGTCAGGGCCCTGAATCTGATGCTGCTGAACCCTCCGCAAGACCAGCTTGAGTCAGCTTGAACTCTAAAGCATCACCAGAAAAGTCTTTCAGACTCTCCGACGAGGGTTCCCCGTAGTAGCTCGGCCCGAAAACCGGAAGAAGTTTTGGCCCGCAATGGCACGCACCGTCTTGTCCTGCCAGACACCGTCGACAGTGCCTGGGCCAACATGTCTAAGACCAGGCAGACGAAGCTTGTGTGAAAGAAGTGCAGGCCAATATGGCCCCGCAACTCCTCCGCCTTCCTCCCCGCCCCCAAGGGGCGACGCGGGCACCGAGGTAGCACAGCAGTTGTCTGAACTGCTTCAATGCTTTCCTGCTGCGGCCATTGGTGGCATCCAGTGGAAGACACTCCTGAGCAAGTATGAGGAGTCTCGGCTTGAGTAGTCCCTGTGCAGACCTTACACCGAATACCCAACAGCCCAACGAGGAGCGCTACAGCACCCGCCTGGACATCTTTGGGCTTGGCCACACGTCGCCACTCGCCGCCACCACCACGCTTCTATGGGACGTCCTGGCCCCAGCGACGAACGCGACCAAAGACTTGCGAGAAATCAAAGCATACTTTCCTGTCATAACAGCGATCGCGCACCCAACGTAGAGACAACTGTAGTCTGCCAGAATGCTGCATGCTGCCATCCACATGATAGGTAAGAGGCGTTTGTTCCGGGTTTTCAAGTGCTTCGGAGCTACAGCCCAGGTCCTACGCCTCGTAGACACCGAAGATGGTGACAATCCCATCGTGGCTGTAGAGGACTCGGTGGCGCTTGCCGGGCCCCCAGCTTTTTTCGGATTGCTCCACTCGCCTCCCTGGGTGCACTATTAGGGTTGTTTAGGGTTGAGACGTCCAGCCTTAGCAGCAGAAAGCAACTCGAATCCCAAAAGCCTTAAAGCCGCTGAGAAGCCATCAACCACACACGTCGAATGCCCATCTCAAGGCCTTCAACAAACTCCGAAGGAAACCCAAAGCCATGGAACCTCAGCCCCAAACCCTAAAATGCTCGATCCTTGAAAGCCGAAGCCCTCAGCCCTAAATTTAAATCCCAAAAGACCCCAAGCTCCAAGCCCAAAACCCTAGACTTTAAATTCCAGCCCAAAGCCCGAAACTCTAACCTCCAAACTTTAGGCCCTAAATCCTTCCTTCCCAAAAGCATCAATCCCCCAAACCCCGATCCTAAACCGGAATCTCTGAACCTCAGGTCGCTAAATCCTAAACTCCCAGCCCTAAACCCTAAACCCTAAATCCTAAACCCTGGAAGCTCAGGTCCCGAAGCCCGGGAGTGCCGCCAGCTGGCCCTCGCTCTACCAGGCGTCTGCTTTTCGCGGTCTTCGGTGCCTCCTTAGGCTTACAAGACGGGTTAGCATAAGGGTTGCCACAAGGATTGCTGTGAGGCAGAGTTGCCGTGAGGCATGGTGGATTGTAGGTTTCTGGCTTTTTCTGTGCTTTTCAGGCTCCGTTTTATCGGCTTCGGAGGCTTGCTGGGGCTTTTGTTAGCGCTGCAGAGGAATCAAAGAGTCTGTGGCACGAACTAGTGGTAAGATCCAGTCCGGCTACATGAGCAGGAGCGACCCTAGCTTCCCTAAACCCTAAACCCTGAACTCTAAATATTAAAGCCTGACGCTGCGGTGAGCCAATTCTCTGAAACTCGGGCTACGGCAAGAGAGAGTGCGAAGGTGCTTTGCAATGTGCTTCGCGAGCATGGCACGGTGCAAGAGGCATGGGTTGTGCAGCCGCCTCTCTCGCCATAGTGCCATCTTAAGATGGTCGGGGGAGCAGCTCGAGATCTTTAGCCCAAAACCCACAAACCTGAACACTCCACTGTGTTGGCGCCATCGCTCCGAAGCGCAAATGTCTAGAACTTCTACTGGCCGAGTCTTTCGGAAAGAGCTTGGGTTCCGATCTTCTCCGGAGCTTTCTTTCCTTATTTTCCGAGGTTAAGGAAGCATACGTCGGGGGATTCGGAGCTGTGAGCTAGAAGCTTTTAGGAGGGCTCTGAAGTCCTCGGTTGCAGAAGAAGCCTCTAAGAAGGCCGGGGTCCAGGCCCTAAGCCGGAGCTGCCGTAGCCCCGCAGGAAGACGGCCAGCAGGCGATCCTGGTGTCGCAGCTGAAGCCCCTGCTGCAGCGCTACTGGCATAGCACCTTCGACGAGGCCGCGAGACTTCAACGGCTTTCTGGGCCTTCTTTATAATATAATATAATATTATATTATATAATATAGTATAATATAATATAATATTATATTTGGGGTCCTTCTTGACGTACACCAAGCCCCGAAGCCTGAAGCTAAAGCCTTGAAGCCCGAAGCCCTGACACCCTAAACACCCTAACCCCACAAGCTGCTCTTGAACCCTTCAAGGGAACCCTAGACCCTAAACCCTAAAACCCTAAACCCTAAACCCTAAACCCTCAACCCTCAAACCTACCGGAAAACCCATACGCAGGGAAGCCTTGGCTACCTGACGGAGGAAGGTTCCGCTGTGAAGATGAAGAAGATGAAGCATCTTCTTCAGGCCCATTTCAGGGTTTTGGGTTGAGGCTGTTTGGGTTTTTGGGGGCTTTAGTTGAGGGTGCTAGGGTTGAGGGTGTTTGGGTTTTTGGGGCTTTAGTTTAGGGTGCTAGGGTTGAGGGTGTTTGGGTTTTAGGGTTTAAGTTTAAGGTTTTAGGGTTTAGGGGTGAGGGCGTTGGGGTTTAGGGTTCAAGTTTAAGGTGCTAGGGAATTAGGTTTGAGGCTGTTGGGATTTAGGGCGTTTGGCGTGAGGGTTTAGGGTTACAGGGACCTGACCCCTGAGTTTTATTTCAGGATCAAGCGCGACGAGATGGTGACATGCACTTTCCAAGATTTTCTGGCCATTGGGTTTAGGGGTTTAGGGTTTTAGGGTTTTAGGGTTTGGGTTTCAGGTTTTAGGGGTTTAGGGTTTTAGGGTTTGTGGCACCTAGTCTAGAAGGGGTCAGGCCGCTGGGTTTTATGTCAGCCATCTTCCCTAACATGAACCCGCTTGGTCCAAACTTGTTCGGAATGCTACGGACCCTCAGGCCACCAGAATTCATTCTGCGGGCTGAGATAGGGTCAGGCGCAGGGATGTCATTGGCATTACATCCAGGAGGTGCGCTACAACTTTACAACTGCCTATATTCCGGTAAGCGTAACCAGAACAACAAGACAGACTGGGACAGCCGCAGGATTCACACCTAGTGCCAAAAGGGGGGGGGCGTCTAGGGAGTTTCCGGGCTACTTTTGAGGGGTTCTTCTGAAAAGGATGGTTTAGGTAGGGTGAGGGGTTCCTTAAAGCCTAACTAAGCCCGGAAACCCTCAACTTTAAGCCCTGAGCATCCTAGGCCCTCGAAGTTACTAAGCTTTGAAACCCCAAGCCGTAAACGCGACCCTAAGAATTCAATTCCTAAGGCCCAAAGCCTAAACTTAGGGGCTGCGAAACTGCTGCCCTAACCCCGTAAGCCCTAAATCCTACAACCCTAAACCACGCGCATCCCCTTAACCCTAAACCCTAGCAGACTTTAGCCCGAAACCTATAGAAACCCGAAGCCCTAAACCCGAAACCCTATAGAAACCCTCAGCCCTAAACAAAAAACCCAAACCCTCCCTCTCAGGAACCCTTATAAGAGTCCTTTAGGGGAACCCGAACCCTTCTAGGAGTCCTTTAACCATTGAAGAAACCCTTATAGGAGTCCTTTCAAGGAACCCCCTTAAAGGAACCCTTATAGGAGTCCTTTAAAAGAACCCCTTACAGGAACCCTTATAGGAGTTGTTTAAAGGGAACCCGACAGCTTAGGCCTTGCTTCGATGGCGTTCGCAGCGCCTGGCCTGGCAGCTGCTGGGTTGCTCTTGAGCGGGAGCTTGAGATTTAGGGGCGCAGGGCTTTAGGGTCAAGGGCTAAGAGGGGACAGAAGTTGAGGTGCGATAATAAGGGCTTAAGGTTCAGGGCTTAGGATGAGGGTTAAGGGTTTAGGTTTTAGGATTAGGTGGGTTTACGGTCTAGGGTTTCGCGCATAGGTTGCCATAGCAAGGCGAGTTTAACAGGTTTCATAGGGCGTGAAGTTTCGGTGACAAAGGAACCACACCATTGGCCACAAATCCATGTTGTGGTTCCATGCTGTAGTGATTTGAGCTAAGTGCCTCAACCCCTAGAACACTCTTAATAATCATAATACCAATAATATTAATAATAATATTAATGGTAATAATCATATTATTAACAAATTTCTAGGATCCTCAACTGCAGTCCAGGTCTTATGGCGGCCGCTCCGGTATCCTGGCAGGGACTGAGGAGGGGGGGGGGTTCTCTTTTCAAAGCTCCCACAGAAGAGGACTGTAATAACGGCGGGGATGAGGATGCCGATGGTGATAGTCTTGTTGGAGATGCGGATGTGGATGGTGATGCTGAAAAGCAAGCATCCTCGTCATCATGAAGGTGACAGTGTTGAAATTGGGGGAGATCATGAGTGTAATGCACGTGATGGACATGCCTGGTAGATTGTGGTCGTGACGATGGTTAGCACGAGCTTAACGGCTACGATGAGACGACGTTACTGTTACATGCTGAGAGGACCCTAAACCCTAAGCCTCAAACCCTAAACCCTAAACCCTAAACTCTAAACGCAGAGTCCCGAGGCCGGAACATGGATGAGGCACTTTCACAAGAGCTGGAGCTCCTGCGCCTCTTCTGCAGACGGGGTCTTCTTTGCAGAGGGGGATAGTGCACCCCTGTCCTTCTTTTGTGCTACCTTGTTGCTGTGGACCTGACAGGACGGTGAACCTCTGTCGAAAAGAGCCATCGGGTGTTTTCAGTTTCAAGTTGAACGGAGGGTGTTGGCTGCTGAGATGCCTGTCTTTCGAGGGGCTTGGGCGTGGAGCGTGAAGGCGTTCTGTAAGCTCCCGAGCAAGTCTCGACACTCCTTGGAGGTCAGAGGCCCATATATATATATATATATATATATGTAACATAGATATATATATATATATAGATAACTGTTATTGTTATGATTAAGTATTCTTAATCTATATTTTTGTTATCATTAATGCTTAGTTTTATTACTGTTATAATTTGTTCCTATACCCATCTCAATAAAACTTTCCCAAGCCCTCCGAGGCCCTCGAAGCGGCACAACGACCTGCTGCTGCGTTTCGCTGGCCCGGCCCCTGTGGCAGAGCCCTGTCCACCTCAAGGTTTTTTTTTTTTTTTTTT